CAAGAAGATGTGGTACATATATACCATGGAATATTACTCAGCATTCAAAAAAGATAAACACATGCAATTTGCAGCAACATGGATGGCACTGGAAGGGATCATGCTCAGCGAAATAAGCAAAAAGAAAAAGAAAAATACAGGATGGTCTCACTCATAGCAGGAATCTAGTAAACTTAAATAAGGGACCAGGAAAATGAATATAAGAAAGTGAAAATCAAAATCAACAAAAAACTATGAACCAGAGACACTTTTTGGGGGGGTGGGGGGCGGGAGGGGAAGGATTGGGGTCAGAATGGGCGTTTGCAATTGTATGGGGGAATATAAAAATAAAATTTAATATTTAAAAAAAAAAAAAAGTACCAAGTATTCAACCTAATAAATATTACTATGTAATAAAATGAATATTTATTGAAGACTTTTATGATGGGTACTTCAAAGAATTCAAATACTAGATTTTTTAAGTACCATAATGCAAGACAGACTGACAAGAGTACTCCAGCAGAGGTAATAATACTTCAGGAATACAAATAGCAAAAGAAAAGCTTCTCAGGAAACCTAATATGAAGTCCACAGACAGACAAGAATATTCCAGTAGCAGTAAAAACAGATGACAATGGGAAAATCACGAGAGAGTAATGTATATGCCTGAATATAAGGCACATCTTCCCCATCCCCAAAATTAGGTATCATACAAGATGTTATTGTGGGCAAAATTCCTAAGAGTCATCTCTGAGGCCTCACAGTAGAATGCTTAAGGATAAGCTTTGAATCCCATTATCAGGCTTGAATCCTTTCTCCGTTATTGACTGCTTGGGAGTTCATAGATGAGATGACCTTTCTGTATCTAGATTTATTCACTAGCTAAAGAATATTTCCTATCTCCCAGGCCTGTTGAGAGTGTCAAAAGAATTAAATGTGCAATATTCTTGGACATTGGACCAGTGCCTGTTCCAATATTCTTCTACTACCATCGGTTTCACTTTCTGGGGTTTAAGTTATCCAGTGTCTGAAATATTATGTATAATGAGATATTTTGAGAGAGAAATGACATTCACAAACTGTCTGTTACAGTTCACCATTACAATTGTTCTGTTTTATTATTAGTTCTTGTTATCAGTTGCTTACTGTGCCTAACTTACAGGTCAAACTTATCACCAGTATGTATGTAAAAGAAAAAATAGTATATAATGGGTTTGGTATAATCCTAAATTTCAGGTATTCACTTGGGGTGTTGGAATGTATCCCTTGAGGATAAGGGGGTGACTTCTACATATAGAAAACATGTTTCATAAGAGTGCTACCTTTCTTCAATGATTTAAGTCATTGAACTACATACTATTGAACCATTGGGCTAGAAACATCTTCATATAATCCTCATTTAGATTGATGAAATTATTTTGAAAAATAAGGAGGCAAAATATTATAACAGATTAATTATTTACCTCACAGTTTTAAGTTTCCATGTCAATGCAGGCATTCTTTTAAAAACTATTAAAAAAAAAAAAAAACAAACAAACCAGTGGAGGTGACTAACATTTAGGATGAATGAGAAACTCCAGCTCTTTAATATAAAGTAAGCAGGAGCCTATAGTTTGCAATAACAACCAAAAAGGATTCAGGTAGGTATCCTGAAAAATTTAGACAGAAATGAAAGTAATATGGCCTTAATAATCACCCTGACAGTTCAAAATATAACCCTTGTGATGCAGTGATTAATGTAAAAATTAAATGTTAAAGTTTGAAATAAATTATTTTATAAACTGTGAATGGGAAAAAGTTTCTCATTTATTATAGCTTTATTTATAGATATTTATCTAAATAGGGAATTAAATAGCACAAGTATACACACACCTATTGATCTACATCCCTGATATTTTATATTTGGCAAAACTAACATTGGACTTTCTTTTAGAGAAAAATGGAAGTTACTTTTTTATTTAAAAAATTATTAGATTATTTTTGATGGTGATAACCTTGGTTTACAACACAGTGTATGACAGGTTAACACCTCTTCTTCAGATATATGTCACCAGACCACACCTGTTACCACAGCCCTGGTAATAATCTACCACAGTTTATTAAGTCCTTCTTCCTTTGCTCTCCCCCCTCCCTCTCTGGTATCTTCAATTTTACAGTAAGATTTCTAGGATTTGTTTTGGCTTAATTTTGTGTGATCTTTTGTTTGTTGGAGAAAGTACTTCAAATTCTATTGTGTAATTAAGTCTGGGGATTAGAGATTTAGAAAGCTTGAGAGGACAGTGGGATGTGAACTTTGTCCAGAAGAATAATTGGGGAATAGAGAATATAACTAAATGTATTGAGGGATTGTTTTCTAGGTGCCTTATATATGCAATCACATAAAATTCTCTTAGGTATTATTATTTTCAGTTTACAGATAGGGAAATTGAGGCTCAGATAAGTTAGTGAGATTGTTCAAATGCCACAACCACAAGTACTGGGTTCCATTTTGAATGCAGGTCTCTTCAATCCCAGTACCCCATATTTTCTCTAAAAGATAACCAGGTGGATCCAGAAAAAAAACTGAGTTGAAATGTTTGCTGTCAATTACTCAACATCTTTCTTAAGTTTCTTATCATGGGGATAATAACACTATCTCTTTGAGGAGTTGTTGAGATAATTAAATGAACTTTACAACTAAGAATTGGGAATAGCAAATGACATACAAATGTACTATGGTTGTTACTCTGGATGTAAAGAAAAGGGAAGGAGGAAAGGAAAAAAAAATAAAAGAAAAGATAAGAGGAAGATCTCCAATTTCTTAAATTGCCTCTTTCAGAAGCAGAGTGCATTTTGGGAAGGAGTGAATGGAAAAGCAAAGACATAAATTCTGAGGACAGAATTCTACCTCCTTTCCTATAAAAATCAAGGAAATAGGGATGAAAGTGTGATCCTACATGGTAATTACTGGGAATATATACAACAATGGCCTTAGCAGTAAACAGATTTTCAAACTTTAATACTTAGGAATTTTCTACTTTGCTTCTGAAATGTTTCACTGTGAGGGCTGCTAAATAATTTATAGCCTATAAGTACAGCCTGGATATGTTCACTTTATCCAGTATTTACTACTTATCCTCTTTAAGCTTTAAGACTATATATTTATGAAACTGGACAAATAATCCTAAGTCATACAGTTGTATACATACCAATGTATATATGTGTATGTATATATACATACACACACACACACACACAAAAATGTGCGTGTGTTTGGCCAGAATCTAGTGATTAGTAAGTAGTTAATAAGAGATAGTTTTGCCATAATCAGACATCTTTGATTATCCTCCATTAAAACCTGAATGTATCTTATAACCAATGTATACATTCATTAAGAGAACATTGTTTTCCTTTCACTTTCTAAAACTGTTAACAAATCGTTGGTGTGCCTGTTAGTCTTATCGCCTCCAAAAAATACTGTGATTTGAGAGGTCATGATGTGTTTGCTAACCAATTTCAAGCAATTAAAAAGTTAAAGTGTACCTTGAATTTTTAAATAATAAATGACTGAATAATAACCAAGGAATTATGATATTGTTACAAAGGAGCATAAGCTTCCAAACAGTTTTTAAACTCCACCATGAGAAGTACCTTGAGGACAAAGCAATACTGGGCATTCTGAGACGTACCATAACTAATATACAAATTCACGTTTATAACCCACCATGTTTAGGGCCTCCCCAGTGGTGCAACGGTTTAAGTGCAGCACTGTGAAGCTGGCTGCAGCCTCTGTAGCACCAGTTCAAGTCCCAGCCGGCCAGGGAGATACCCGCATGGCAAGGCAGACCTCTCCTGTCTCGCCCACTGCTCCCTCAGCAGTGCTTTCAGTCCATCTGCCTGCTCTGCTTCCCGCTTTGTCTTTGGTGAATCCTCTCACCCTCCCGTGCTTCTGGCCTGCACCCCAGCTCTTGTATAAATAAATAAAATCTTAAAAAAACACAAAAACCCACCGTGTTTAGAAGAGGATTGAAGATGATTTAGACAGATAACATAAGCTAAAAGTATATAAGACTCCTGAGGGGGCTGGGAAGGGGTGGGAACAAAAAGCAAACCAGAGTATGGACCCAAAATGAAGCCAGAAAAAAGCCTCGTGAATAAACATCTGTAGAAATCAACAGAAAGGAATTCTTGTCAAGAAAACTCTTCTGGTAAAAATAGGAAATCCTGTGAGGTAGTTAGTTCCTAAGTATCAGGAGATTGGTGTTGCTGGAGCATCTCACTGCTGCTTCAGCATCTTTTTGGTGGACAGGTTGTTTGGGTGAAGATGGCGCCTCCCAAGGCCCTGGGCTCCTGGGAAGCCTCCCACACTTTGAACTTCACCAATTACCTCATTTTCATAATAAGCTTACCACTTTCCTTAATTGCTTCACTTCCATTAACAGGTACAGGGGAAAGATAAGGACATTTCATCTTTTAAAGGGGAGAATTTCATGTAGACTGTGAAGAGATGCTTATTAAAAAAATTAAGAATAAGAAATTGGCCTTTGAACTCATTTGGAAACAGATTTTATGCACATTAATGTATTGGGGTGCACAGCCCTTATTTTCTTTTGCTGCCTTATTATCACTTTAAGAGCAGGGTGTCAAGGTCCAAACTCCAAAGGAAAACGTCTTTCTTGGATCTAACAAACTCAGGTGCCAGAATGATTGGCACAAGGCATGGTTATTCCGCCCTTGGGGGAGGGCAAATGACAGAAACAAGAATTTAAAATATCACCAAGGAGACTGTGTTTCTCGGGGGGAAGAGTTCAGCGCTAAATTGAATTACCACTTTCATCCCTTAGACCTGTGTGCACTCGGGCGCGATGCTCTGTCCCCCCAGCTCCTTCTCTAGAAATGGGGCTAAGGAATCCCTTGCTCAGAGGGGCAACCTGAAGAAGCCTACATAGTGGGGTTCAGTCCAACCAGCGCGGAGCTTGTTAAAAAGACAAATTCCGGGGCCCACTGAAGGCAACTGACGCAGAAGCAGCCTGGGAACAGTAGCGCCCTAGATGAGTCTTAAATTCGGGAAATGCTGAGTGCACAAGACCTGCACTTGGTGGAGTAATACTAATTACCAGCGGCGGCGAGGACCCGCCCATTTGACAAGCAACCCCCACCGGTGCGCACCGACAGACCCATGCCCTGCGGGAGCCAGGTGAGGGTCGCGGGCCTAGATTCCCGGGAGGGCCGTGCACCCCCCACCCCCACCCCGCCAACCTCGCTCCGGGACGCGCCCCTACTCCGCAGCCCCGGGACCCGGGCGCCTCGGGGCGGAGATGCGCCAGGTGGCGAGGGTGCCAGGCGCGGCCGAGTCCTGGAGGTCTGAGTCAGGCGCCCAACTATGCCGCGGAACCAGGGCGGCCGGCTCGGGCACCCCAGCCGCTGAGCACGGGCAGCCCCCGCGCCGGGCGCCGGCACCCCGCCCCCGCGGCCCGGGAGGAAGCGGCGAGGCGCGGCGCGGGAGCACCTGGGCCGGGGCCAGGGCGGGCGCGGCGCTTCCGGAGCTGCGCGCCCCTTCGCGCTCCCGCCTCCAGGTGCGGCGGCCGCTGCGCCCGGCCCGAGTGACAGCGCCGCCCGCGCGGCCGCCGCCCGGCAGCAGACGCGGGCAGCGGGGCGCAGGAGGCCCAGCGCCGGGCTCGGACGGTGAGGACCGCGCGCACCCCGCGGGGACAGCCGCCGGCGCCCGCCTCCCCGCCCTGCACGGCTGCGCTCCCGCCCCCGCGCGCAGGCGGGTCTCGGGGCCCCGGCGGGGCTGGACGGCGGAGCCGGCCGGGCGGGAGCACGGCCCCCGGGATGGGCTGGGGCTTTGGGGCGCTTTTCCGGATCCATTTCCAGGGCGCAAAGTGCCCGGCTCTGCTTTCTGCCCCTTAGATTTCGCCCCAGCGCGTGGGCGTCTAAAAGGAAACCAGAAGCGGGTAAGTGCTGCGAAAACTCCACTTGCCAAGGGGATTTGGCCCGGGACGGCGCCTTTCTGGATCGACAACTACACTCCCCTGTGCCTGTGCCCCCCTAAAACGCGCTACCCTTTGGCGAGTTTCAGGCACCGAGTTATTTACCAAGTCGAGATAATGAGTTTGTTGGGATCGGTTTGTTCCCCCGCACCCTGCTCGTTGGACACGTTGGACGACGGGCCTGTTAATTAACTTTAATTACACTCGTTTGACCTCCACCTGCCTGAACCCAGCACCGTACGCGGGAACCCGTCGGCAGCAGCGATTTTACCAGATTGATCTTTCTTTGCTTTTGCAGACAGGTCCCCTGGGAGAATGGGTGCGCATCTCCTGGAGTAAAGTAAGTTGATTCTGGTTTGTTTTCTTAAAAACTTCCCTCTGGTCCTGGTTGAGGACTGCGGTGGTTTTTCTTTCGGGGAAGATACCGTGTCGTGAAATTATGTTGTCAGTTACAACCTTTGCTCATTAGAGGGAAATAAAAGCTGGTACGTGTTTTGGGCTCTTGCAAGTGTGTATGGTGTGATAGCAGCTATTTGTTGTTGTTGCATGCTTGCCCTTGAAGTAGATTGCTCAGTGGAATATATCCTTTTGGCTCAAAAAAAAAAAAAAAAAGGTATTGAAAAATAAGCTATTTTTGAAAGTACATTGAATCGGATGTCGTTGTGATTACCAATAATAGTATTGTACTTACAAGCTCAGTATTGATTTCCCCGCACTTAAGCACTCCTCAGGCACGAGTTTATGGAACTTTGCCCGAAAGTAATCAAAAGATGAAGTTAAGGCTGTTTTTAAAAGGAAGCTAACTTTTTAAAGAAAAAAAAAAAAGGTCGCAAGGCTCATAGGTATGACACTATGCACCTACCGGGGAGATATTGAGGGAAAATTCTCATGACGCTTCACGGTGTAACAATGTTTTAAAAGAAAGAAAATAAGTAAAATGGGTCATGCAACTAGGCTAGAGACTAAAGGGGAAATAGCTCCCTGATTCTTTTTTCAAACATACATTTAACACATGCACATTGAAAGTGGGTCTCATCACAAGGAGTGACTTCTATAGACTTGTTTTGTTGGTTCTCAGAAGATTTATTTAATTTAAAATGTACCTAGCGGGTAAGTCAAATGACTTGTTAAAACTTATTTACGTGGGCGTGTGTTTATATTTTTTCCCTTCCTCTGCAAACCTGTCAGATTTTCTATAGGCTGTCCATGCAAGGAGAAGCTGATGGTACCTTTCCAAACAAATTCTTAATCATATCACACGTATGTAACAGCGTGAGGCTCATCCCTATTCAGTTAAATTTTTAATTCAATTACTGGTAGGTGCTGTGGCTCAGTGTAAGACTGAAATTATAATGACTTGCAACTTGCTTAGAAACTTACCTAGCAGTATGAAACTATGACGTTTAAAAAAAATCTGCTTAGGACTCTAAATTAGAGAATTCATGATATCAAGAAGATGTTTCCTTTTGTTTTGTTACTTTCTGCCATATAGCCCTGAAAAAGTTTGCAGAAAGTTGCCATAATAATGCTGCATATCATGGTGACCATTGCTTTTTAGTAAGTGATTATTTTAACAAATGCTTTTTTTTTTTTTTATAGAGGCATGTTATTTATTTATTTATTTATTTATTTATTTATTTATTCATTTGTTTGTTTTTTTTGTTTATACATGCACTGGGTACAGTCAGAAGCGCGGGAGGGTGAGAGAATTCACCAGAGCCAGAGCGGGGAGCAGAGCAGGCAGAAGGACCAAGGCACACTGCTGAGGGGAGCAGCGGGCGGCAGGAGAGGTCTGCGCGCCATGTGGGACCCTCCTCCGGTGGCTGGGGAGCAGCCGGGGATCGAACCAGCACCGCAGAGGCTGCTGGCAGCTTCGCAACCCAGCGCTCAACCGCTGCGCCACCGGGGAGGCCCAACAAATGCTCTTTTTAACACACATTTTTCTCATGTATTTGTTGACTAATTTATTTGACTAATTTATTTTGCCCTTACAAAACTGAGGGATTTTTGAAATTATCTAATGCTTACGTTAGGTAGAAAACTTCTCATTCATGTTGGAATATCCATCTTTGACCAAATGTGATTGATGAGGGAGTAGACATTATGATGCATCTTTATAATATTTTATATAAAGTTTGTGATTCCTGTTGTTTTAGGCTTTAAAAAAGGTATTGGTCGGATTAAATATATAGTAACAGTTAAACCACTTTGCTAGTTTGTTTGCTTAGTTGAAATAGTAGACTAAGTTGTTCTCTTCAAATGTCTCTAGTTAAATTTTGTGAACTTTTGTTGCAGTTTGATTCAGCATAAATTTACTTCCTTACCCTTGCTATGGAGGGAACAAAGGAAATGATCTTGGTGTGTTCATTCTGAGTAGCTTCAGGGGTACAAACTAGTATTGAAGAGGTGGGGAGAATTATTTTTCTCTTATACATTGTTTATAGAGGGGTTTGACTTGGTGAGGGAATACTGAGGAAAGGGCTGAGCAGATGGTGTATTTGCTTTCATCTTCTCACAAAAACAGGATGTAGAAAGGACTCTACTGGTTACAGTACAAATGCTTTAGGAAGCTGAGAGAATGGTCAAACCAATTTGAAGTTGGAGAGATGATCAGGGCAGACCAGAGAGGTGCAGTCACCGTGCTCATTATTAGGTGATGTGGACTCTATGGAAGCGGTTGCCAAGGTTATTTGGCAGCTTGGTGAAGTTCAGAATCCTTGGCCTTCCACAGCCAATTCCAGTTTCTTTTACTGGCATCACTTTACCCTTTGAGCCCTCTGTCGGTCCCAGTTATCCTCACCTCCTTACAAGTAATTGCCTATGGACATCTTCTGCCTCAGTGGCTCTTCCTATTTCAGATGCTGCTGTTTCCACCTGATGCATTTCTGCTGCCCGTCTTGAAACTCTCCCCTCCCCCATAGCTTTCACTGATCATTCTTTCTTCAGAACCCTGGACTGCTGCATGTTTCACTCATATTCATGGAGCTGTCTAGAGAGTTTTCAAGTGTCTAGGCACTTATGAAAGATGATGGTGTTACTTTTCTATGTAATCAAAAATAAAACCACACTTAAAACATAAACCATGTGAAAAATCAAGGTTACAAATCTGATTTTTCTCATTATTATTTAAGTGCTGCTATCGGATCCATCAGCCTCTTTTGATTTTGGTATTCTTTCACTTTCTGGCACATACTGAGTAGTAAACAACTGACTGTTCATAAGCAAGCCATTTATTCTCTTTTGCTTATGTCTAATCTACCCCTTTAGATTTTAAACTCTTGAAGGGTCAAGACCATGCATCTTCATTTTCTTTGTAGCACTTAGCACTGTTTTCAAATAGGTACTGTTATCTTGAACTGCAAATGTTTCCAGTGATTATCTCAGTGAGTAGTTAGTATGCCATGAATGTTTATTGGATGGAAAAATGTAAATAAGTGAGTAAGTGGGGAGATATTTGCTGAGAATACCCTCTTTTCCAAGAATAAGACTTTGACAATTGCAGAACCAATAGGAAGAAGCCCTCAAATTCAGTTGGAAAGGAGGTCAGGGTGCTATTTATAAATGCAAAGAGAGGAAATGGTCACAGTAGGCTATTTTGAAACATCTGGTTGTTAGTCTAAAAATGTGACTCAAATTCAGAGAAATGTTGGAATAGACATTTTGCTAAAATTTTATTATTGAAACATTCTGTGTGTATATATATAGAGAGAGATAACACATATACATCTTAAGATCTTTTTATCGATATGTAATATCAAGCTAGTCTCTACCTGAATAAATTAAACATTAAAGCTATGTTCAGCGTAGCATGAAATGGAACAGCATCCTGAAGAGTATACACCTGTGGTCATGTCAAGAGTTCAAAGGGGTCTGATTTTCCTTTCAGCTGGAGGTGGCCAGGTTGTAGAGGAGGGGCAGGGGGAGATGGCACTGGGCAGAAGCAGTTTCTAGGAGTTAGCTGCTTCCAGGTGGAGGACCTCCACGGTGATACAATTGGCTTATATTCCTTTTTGTTATTCCCATGTTTGCTCTTTTAGGAACTCAAGACCATGAAATCTCTGTCTGGTTGCCCAAGCATTATGGCTCTACTTTAAAGATCTCTGAATAAGATTTGAAAAGAAATCTCAAACATTAGCCAGTTAGCTTACTGTCCAGATGGACAGCTTGAAAGAGAAAAGCCAAGGAGATTATCAAACACTTAACTGTTGAGATACTATCTAAAACACCTAAATCTAGGCAGGAGCTATGCTACTAACAACTTCTCATAAATAAAACACCTTCTCATAAAACACCTATCACTCTTGGCTTTTCCAGGGTGTAGAAATGGGTATTGTTGTATAAACTGAAGAGTTGTGTTTTCAGATGAGACAGTAAATAAAACACATTTTAGAATAATCCCATCTCTTTGATCTGAGTCTTGGGATGATTTTGCCCAGAGCCTGGCTTTTTTCAGCTCAAACCTCAGTTACTCTCCATCTAGCAGACACTAATGAAATGCTTATTGCTTGCTGCAACTAAGGTTGTTACACATTTACTCATTTCATCTTCAGACAGTCAAGTGAGGTAGGTATTGTTGTCATTCCTGCTGAGAGATGACAGGAAATAAAGTACCTTTCTCAAGGTCCTGGTGCCAGTACATGAGAGTTGTGAACTCTTATCAAGGTACCAGATCTAGTCTGTAGGTAAAATCATCCTATCTCCTCTAACCACATCCGTATTTTACTAAATTAATAAAACTGTCTACTGCTGTATTCGCCACTTTGTGGATTTATTAGAACAATTGTTTATTGTACTAATTTAAAGGAATGCAACTTATTAGCTAGGAAGAACAATCCCAATCAAACTAAGGGCAGTAGTGTATTTAACAGATGAATAATGATAATATAGCCAGTGTTTATAATTCATGTCAGGTACCACAATATATACTTTAAGCATTTTATTTGTTTAATCCTAACAGAACTGCTAACAGATAGGAGGTATAGTATCCTTAGGGAAATTAAGTAACTGAACCAAGCTAGGCAGTTAGCAAATGGTCAGCTCAGTAAGTAAGGTACAGAATCATCTGTCCAACATTTAAAGTTAAAGCTTTAAGACTGTACATAGTACCATTTGGAACAAGAGTTCACTATTTTCTAGTCAGATTTTTTTTTAAATTCTTCTGTCTGTTCATTTTTTAAAATGATGATTATTGACCTCTGGTGAGCAGTGAACAGTTTCTTGCTGATATTTGGCTATTTGATTCTGATTTTGACTTCTTACTGTTGTACTCTACATCAGTTGTACTACAGAGATGTGCATTGGCAATCTTTCTGCAATCTCAGATGCAATATTTTAATAAAC